CCCATTGGGGTTTCTGAGGCTTCTCCTAAGGAGCAGCAGGTGGATTTGAACTGCTAACTTTTTCATTAACAGACAGATGTGTTGAGCACTGTATATCCGGAGTACCTCCCCATCTTACATTGTTGTTAGAGGTTCTTGGAGTCCGCTCCCCCTCCCTGACCCTTCAGACAGCATCATCATCCTCGTACCGTCATCCTCACAGTCGGCTGGTTTGAGCCTTGTGGCCTCCGTGGTCAGTCTGTCTCCGGGAGGCCTTCCTTGTCCCTGACTCCTGCACACTCATGTCCTCAGAGGGATGGCACCCTGATGCCACGCCTCTCACCTTGCTCGGATCAGAGGGCACAGTGACTGTTATTTCTTCTGAGGGAGAAGTGCTCGTTCCCTCGCTGGTGTGTTCTCTTCGCCAGCACCACAGTGCGAAAGGCATCAGTTCTTCACTTTTTCTCACTCATTGTCGATTTTCACACGCAAAGCATTCGAAGAGAGGAAGTGCAGGGTCTGACCAGTAACTGGTGATTTAATTGGAGCCTCCCTACTCTGGCGAGCTTGAGCACTAACACGTCACTGGCCGTTTTTGTTGTTGACACCCGTCGGACCAGTGCTTTCTAGATTCTTATCTTTCACACGTTCACTTCCGTCTTCACCTGACTTAGGTGGTGAGCTACTTCCTGTTGTCTGTCCTGGTGTTTTCTTCCACCAGGAGCAGTGAGGGAGGGCACGGGGCTAGGGGAGGAAAGGAGGCTATTGAAATTCACATGACCCTCAGAAAATAGGCCTCTCCCTCTCCTTAGACCTCCTCTGCTGGCTGGGGTGCTGGGTGGGGGCCTTCTCTCTTGGCCAGGGTGCTGGGTGGGCCGCCTCTGTTGGCCAGGGTCCTGGGTGGGCCTCCTCTGCTGGCCAGGGTGCTGGGTGGGCCTCCTCTGCTGGCCAGGGTGCTGGGCAGTGACTGTGTTTACTGACTTGCGAAGTTCAAGGTCAAGGAAGCCAGCTTCATCCGAGTCCAGGTGTGTGGATATCAGCACTGGCTGTGCAGCGCTGTCAGGCCGGCCTCCCAGTCCAGTTAACACAGGCTCCCAGGGCACCACTCAGGTGTCTGAAGCATACAAGTGATGTCCAGGTAGCTGGATTTGAACCACTCTACCCACTAGGACCTCACTGAGTGGGGAGCGGAGCCAAAATCCCCTTCTACTCTGCAGCCAGAGGTGGAGAGAAGCTTCTAGACTTCTGGCCTTGGGTTTCCTGAGAGAGGCATCTTGCCCCTTTTCAAGGCCAGCTGTTGGGCTTTTCATGTTCATCTGCTCCCAGAGGCTAGTTCATCCCAGGGTGGTCCTCTGTGTCTCCCAAGGAGCACTTTTATATCCTGAGAGATGGGGATCCTGGGACTACAAGCTCCTGGAGCCTCCCAGCCCCCTACTCCAGACTTCTTGGAAATGCAACAAATTAGAACTCCTTGAATCTCTGGTTGAACTGCTGATGGGTGGGGCTGGCTTTGCAGGGGTCTCAGTGGTTCTGAGAATCCCCCATTCTGGGACTCACCCCAGGTCATGCTGACTGTGCAGGCAGAGGGCCCCTGCCTTGGTGAGACCTCCAGCCCCCAGGCCCCAGAGGTGGGGGGGGGTGCCCAGATTAAGTCTCTTAGCGTCTGTGAGGGACCAGGAGCTGGGGCAGACGCACCAGAAGGAAGTGGGAAGTTGGTTCACCTTACACTTAGCTCTGCATTTCTCGTGCTGCACCCTTTAAGGAGCACTGGAGCGAACACACTGACCCTGTCCTGGGCGGCCCAAAAGAGAAATCTTAGGGAGGTGTAGTCCGTGCGCCTCAGCAGTGAGCGTGCAAGATTTCACCCCCTCCCCCCACTTTGGATATGTTATCCGCAGGCGCCAGTCCCTGGAGAAGGACATCAGGCTTGATAGACTGAAGGGTCAGCAGAAGAGAAGCGGCCCAGTGAGATGGTCTTTGAGCAGGAAAGCAGGCTGCTTGGCGGGAGCTCGCAGCCCATGGTGAGCTTGGACACTAACCCCAGGGCTGTGTCCTGCAGTTTGAGTCGACCAGCAGCTCTGGGAGAAAGATGACCAGAAGCCTCTGAGACCTGGGGCGGGTCACCTGAGGTCACCCAGAGCCCACGGAGGGCGGTGTGAAGAGGCTCTTCATAGATGTCCTTCAGCCTCTGAGACTCCTTTCCCAGTACTCTGACAGTGTCCAGAGCCATTCACAGGGCTTTTCTGGGCAGTTATTTCAGAACGAGGTCAGTAGGCCTTGCTTCCTAGTCTTTCTTGTTCTGGACGCTCTGACAAAACCTGTCTGCTGAGCTGCTGTGTGCTGTTGAGTTGGAAGTGACTCTTACAGGTTTTGAGTAAATCCCAAGTGAGGCGATGCTGGTGGCTTTGGACCCTGTGCGGTCAGGATTGCTTCTTACGTCACATAGTTTCCAGCTTCACTCAAACACAAACCCCACAGAACAGAACCAGGAAACGGGCCTGGGTGTGCCCTCAACAATTTACCCGGAAATAGCTAGCAAGCTTGATGAATCACAGCCCTGGCCCCCAGAGTTAGGTGGCAGGAGCCCAGAACCACCCCTGAACCCTTTAGGCGTCTATGACGGTGAGTGCTTGACACCAGAGCCTTGTGGGCGATTCTGCACTGTGACCATGTGGTTGTCAGGGCCTGGGGTTATGACCTGATGGGGGGCTTCTTTTGCCTCCAGATTGTACAAATGAAGCCTTGACCGAGATGCATTCTCTCTCTCCGGGGATGATCTGTCCATTTCCCTGTCTCCTGCTTGTGTCTTTTGAAAGGATCTCAGAATAAACCTGACTCAGGGTTGACTTTTCTCCCTGGAACAAGCACCACCAATTCATGCCATCAGGCTAAGCTCGTTCCTGCTCATCAAAAGGTTGGTGGTTTGAAACCACCCAGAGATTTCTCGGTAGGCAACCCTGACAATCTGCTTCTTTAAAAATTGCAGACAGGAAAACCTTGTAGGCTAGTTCCCTGGCCCATGTGGTGGTCATGAGTTGGAGTGGAGGCAGCTGGCACCCACTCCTGATAACTACACCCTTTGTAAAGTCAAAGCTATCAACTGTGCTCTCACATTAACTATCCAAGTTAACATTGATTGGAGTGTACCTAACTAAAGGCAACAAAATAACCCTTTTGTGTCAGCCGGTGGGAAACCGTAATTTAAATAGCCCTGAACTGCTCTCCCCCTCTTGTAGTTTGGAAAAAAATCAGAGCTCCAGGTTTTGTCTTCTTAGATTTGTTAGTGGGTTTTTGATTTTTTTTTTTTTTTTTAATTTAAACAATGTGTTACAGTAAGTGTATCTAGCAAACTTGCCCACCTCCTGGGGAAGGGCCTGGTAGGGAGCTGGCCAGGAGCACTCCTCTGTTGGATGTGCTGATAGTGGTGCTGGTGGGAGGCACTATCTGAGACCACAGGGCGAGGCTGCAGCTTATCAAGAGGTGTCAGAGAGGCAGGGGATCTCGGTGCAACTGGAGAACACACAGGACGACAGCGGGCTGGGGGAGGGGGCAGGAAAGGCGGGCTCAGGGCTGCGTTAAAGACTGTCTGCTAACCTGAAGGTTGGTGGTTTGAAACCATCTGAAGAGAGAGAGAGGAATTGTACTCATTGTGGTTGATTTGAAACCAGCTCAGAGCTGCCCTCCAGTGGCTGTCAGAGCCTGTAGGATTGCCCATCTTTCTCTGAGTGGCTGGTGGATTTGAATCCCCTGTGAGCTGTGTCTATGTGAGCTGCACGGAGCCCTGGGGACGAGGCCACCTGAGGTGCTCCCCGTGAAGATGTTACACAGCCTGGGAAGCCCAGGAACGGGCCTGCTTGGGCTTGCAGGGTCGCTTGGTTGACGTTGACATGAGTGCCTCTGATCAGCTGTTTCTGGCAGTGGCGCCCATGTCAGAAGCCACAGGTGACAAAACCTTTCTGTCATCAACAGACAGTTCTGTGTTCAGCTGCACCAGGCTGCCCGCGACCACGAAGGTCTGAAAGTGAAGCGGTTTTATGGTTTGGTTTGTTTTCCTGAAGTTTTGTTTTACATAGAATATGAAGACTGTTCTGTTCCTTTGTAATCACAAAAAAAAATAAATGTTGGTAAAGGAGATGGTTGTGTGCCGTTGAGTTGAAACCCACTGATAGCGGACTCTTCAGGGGCTTTTCCTAGGCAATAAGTCACACAGGAGGAGATTCCCTGTCCTTTCCCCAGGGAGCAGCTGGTGGATTTGAACTGAGTGCCTTTGGGATTTCAGTACAGCTTCTTACCAGTAGGCCACTAGAGCTCCCTACAGAAGACAATTAGGTGCTGTCATAGTGACTGCCCCATGGAATTGCTCCCGGTTGGGTTTTCTGTTTGGTTTTTTAAAAAATTTTATTATTTTTCTGTGAGTGTACCGTCAAATCAGATCTGACTGGTACAGGAGGAGATTGTCCCTCCTTCCCCGGCAGAGCATCTGGTGGATTTGAACCGTACACCTCTGGGATTGTAGTTGCAGCTCCTTGCCAGTAGGTGGGTTTTCTGTTTTTAAAGTTGTATTTTACTTCATTGTTGAGAGTATGCATGACAGAAACATGCGTTCAGCAGAGTCTCCCTGTACGATTCAGTGACATTGGTTAAGTTCGTCAACTTGGGTGAGGATTTCCCTCCTTTTCTCAGTTGTCTGTCTCCCATGAACTCCGCCCTCTGCATTTCCCAGATAACTTTTTGATCTGATTTTGCCAACTTGATCCCATAGAGAGATCCTGAACGAGCATCACACTCACAGCATCTGTACTTGGTCTTCACCAGTGAAGGGAAACATGTTTCTGGGAAGCCTTGCCGGGGGTGTTTTCTGGCAGGTGGATTCAAACCGCTCACCTTGCCACCAGCAGCCTGCTAGGTTACACACTCTGTCTTCAGAGGGTGTGGGCCTTCATCTTGGGCCGAGTTTTGTGGGCCGTTCGCTTTGCTTTACTCTGAATAGGAGAACTGATAACTTGTGTGTTTCCTCCCAGGAACTTGTGCAAATATTCTCATAACGTCCTCTCCGAAGAGAACTTCAGAGTCCTGAAAAAGCATGAACTCTCTGGCCTTAACCAGGAGGAACTGGCTGTGCTCCTTGTCCAGAGTGACCCTTTCTTCTTGCCTGAGGTAAGTCACGACTCCATTAAAAAGCAAGTAACCCAAATTCAACTCTGTCCAGTCAGTTCTGACCCACGGAGACCCTGTGTCGGGTTCCCGCTGCCGTATATCTTTATAGGGAGGAAACTGCCCCTCCTTTTTCTAAGGAGCACCTGGTGGATTCAAACCGCTGACCCTTTCCATAACAGCCCCAGTACTTGATGTACTATGCTACCAGGGCTGCAGGGGAAAACGCAGGGAGAAGTTTATTCGCAGAGAATGCGGGAGCAGGAGCTGAAGGTCAGCATCTTCATCTGTGCTTGGCCAGCAGGAGGCCGCTCAGTGACCTGAGTTGTTGTTGTGTGTTGTCACGTTGGTTAAGTCTTTTTTTCTTTCTTTTTTAAATTAATTTTAATGAAAGTTTACAGTTGATGGTTAGAGAGCGTTCCAGAAATACACGTTTCTGTTTCTAAATGTAAAGGCTAACATGCACCTGATCCAAGCTAGACAGAGCCATGGTATTTTTAATTGCACACATCTAGAAGTTGGACAATGAATAAAAAAGCAGAATTGCTGTCTTGAGTTGGTTTACTACCTCAGAAACCTGAGTGACTTACACAATGATGCAGCACTGTATAAAGCACTGACCACATATGTGAGATGATTAACTGACGTCACAGGAGCGCACCAGCCCCATCTCAGAAGGTTCTGGCTCTGCAGGTCTGGGGTAGCTCTGGAGGGTTTGCCCTTCTGACAGAATGCTGGTGCTGGTGATCAGAACCCTCTCAGATGGGACCACCAGCAGGGTATCCAGAACCCTCTAGAACCTGGATCAGGGACTCGAGCAGGAGCCTAGGCGACAGAGTCATCACTGCCGGAGTCTGAGCCCTTGTTTTGTCATCTGCCTCGTTTTCGGGCTCCCTGCTCTCCAATTGATTTGGGGTCTGAGCAGACAGCATAGGAATGTTCACATGAGCTTGAGGGCGCTTGGAGCAGGCTCCCCACGCCCCGGCTCTGGTGCTTCAGGAGTTAAATGCCCACATCCCACTTTGTACAGTACTTTCATGCATATGATTTCATCTGCTTCCACAGTTTGTAGTGGCCCTGGTGGCGCAGTGTGATACGTACTGGGATGCTAACGGGTAGCATGCGGTGGTTTGAATCTGGCAGCTGTGTTGTGGGGGAAAGCTGAGTGGTCCCTGTAAAGATTGACATCGTGAAAATCCCACGGAGGGTCCCAGGATGCGGGTGATGGTGGTGGGGTTTGACTCAGTAGGTTGGTGTAGGGAGCACTGAGTGACAGATTCTGGGGTGAGAAAAGGAGATTTTAGTAGAGAGGAAAGCAAACAGCCAGCAGAGATACACTCGGAGAGACGGCAGGGGTTTTGGAGGGGGCTGCGGCTGCTTTAGCAGAGGTGTTTGGGGCATTAGTTGGGAAGGAGGCGTTTTAGAAATCCGTCCTCTAAGCAGAGGTGGGCCCCTTGGAAGTGGGTGAGTCTGGTGCGCCACATGCCCTGTCCTTGGATGTGGCTCTGTGGCAGATCTGGGGTTTGCTGTGATGGTGACTCAGGAGTAGGTGGCTTTTGGTTTTTTGTGTTTGTTTTTTTTCGTTGTTGTTTTTTCTTCTTCTCTCTGTTTTCTTTTTGTGTGCCATCAAATCAGATCTGACTGGCACAGGAGGAGATTGCCCCTCCTTCTCCAGCGGAGCGTCTGGTGGATTTGAACAGCGTGCCTTCGGGATGGCAGCACAGCTTTTTGCTGCTAGGCCACCAGAGCTCCTTAGCAGGTGGTTTTGGAAGAGACCTTGTATAGGCTGATAGGTGGAGGAAGGTGCTGGTGGCAGTTACGCCTGACCACCCATGTGGAGGCTGGTGCTTCAAACCTCCCTCAGAGTTAGTGTGGAAGAAAGTCCTGGTGATCTGTACCTGTGAATGTCCCAGGCTAGACACCGGCGTCGAGCAGTTTTGCATTCCCTGAGTAGGGGGGATCTACTCAGCAGCTAACAGCCATCACTGCCCTGGTGGCCACTGACCTGCCCCCCACCCCCCAGATCTGCAAGAGCTACAAGGGCGAGGGTCGCAGGCAGATCTGCAGCCAGCAGCCGCCCTGCGAGCGTCTGCACATCTGTGAGCACTTCACCCGCGGGAACTGCAGCTATGTCAACTGCCTACGCTCCCACAACCTGCTGGACCGGAAGGTGCTGGCCGCCATGCGCGAGCACGGGCTGGAACCGGACGTGGTCCAGAACATTCAGGACATCTGCAACAGCAAACACAACCAGGGCCGCAAGAACCCACCAGGCCGCAGAGGTGAGCTGGGCCAGAGAGGTACAGGTGGGTTTGGGGAGAGGGGGTATGTGCAGGTGGAGGGGTCCCAGAGAAGAAGTACTGGGGAGAGGATGCCAGAGAGGTGGGGCAGGGCCAGGGAGGGCATTGCCAAGGTAGGGGAGACGGAGGAAGGGGGTGCCAGAGAGGTGAGGGGTGAGTAGGGGGAGGAGGCGCTGGAGAGAGTTGGGGGTAGGCCTGGGGAGGGGGTGTGCAAATATAAGGGAGAGCTAGGAAAGGGGTGCCAGAGTGGTGAGGGGTGAGTGGAACTAAGGAGGGGATATGAGAGAGATAGAGGGCCAGGGGAGAGGGTGCCAGGGAGGTAGGGGTGAGGTGGGCCTGGGGAGGGGGTGTGAAGTGATGGGGGAGACACAGGAAGGGGGTGTCAGAAGAGGAGTGGGTGCTAGAGAAGTGAGGGGTGCTGTAGAGGGGGATGCTGAGAGGTGGGGCAGGTTCCTCCTAGAGCCAACAGAGCAGGCCTCCTTCTGGCTTCTGAACCGGAGCGAGTGAATCTGGGGTCTCGCCCCCTGTGACCTCCGTGACAGCAGCACTAGGTAGCTGAGACCCCAGGAAACCTGGCTACACCCGAGGCAGCTTGGCCTCATGGCTTCAGCAACTTGAGGTCTAACTTTGGTGAATTTCTTTTTTTTTTTTT